TTGGAAGATCTTGGAATTATTTCATTCCAAAATTGCGAAAAAAAAGTTCTTATTGCATCCAATTTCGACTTAATTCTCGAGTTTACGCTCTATGTGCCTTTTCAGCCAAAATAGGGTCGGGAAGAAATGATTAACTCGCCAAGTTAATTATTAACAGTCGTTTATCTGACAACTGACAAATGGCCTAAAATCTAACTGAGATCTGATAAAAGGCCGAAATTTTAACTGACAACTGACATTTGTGCCCCCCCCCCCCCTCATCTAAACCCTTTATGAAGCTGACTTAAACAATTTTATCATAGTATTTGTCCCAGCAAAGCCACAGAGAGAAAAAGAGAATATCCGTTGATACTAGGTTAATTTAATCGTGGTTCGAGAAACCCACTCCTTGTAAATCGACTGTAACAATCTTTTTTGTTCACACATGCTGCGCCCGGTTACGGTCAAGTCGCCCAAAAGTCATCTCGTCCGAAACCAGAGTCAAGTTTCCAGAAATTCATAGTCATATCGCCCGAAATCCTGAGTCGTGTCGCGCAATTTTGTCGAGTGTTTAAACTTGAAGAAAAGTAACATCTTAAGTAAATCGCAAGGAATAAACTCGTAAAGATGTTGACTCGTGAAACTCAGGTTGATCGTTTCGCTGTCGTTTGATGTCACGGAGATAGTAATCCTAAAATAGAACACAAAAATACGATGCTGCCAAAAGCCGTAATCGTCGCACTGAAAGGCTTGCTGGCGTGGTCGAACTTCATTTCCTCTACAGGGATGAACGCTCATTGTATAATTATTTTGCGTACGCGTAACGATCTCGTGTTTCAGCTGATTATCTCAGAATGAAGTGGCTGTTATATTAATATAAATATTAATAAATAGTTAACCAGATCAAAATTTACATGCGACCGGCCGAAGAAACAAGGAACAACTGAACAAGTCGCGATAATTTATGCCGCGTCTGATCCTAAGGGGAATGATGTTAACACGCTTTGTTCGCGTGGTTAATAATAAACAAAAAAATCCGCTGTAAAAGTTTCAGGTTGTTTTTTACACGATAAATCAAACTATGAGAAGGATGTATTTTTCTGATATGTGTGAAAAATTCTGATAACTGAAGGTGTTCCGTTTATAATTACTAGAATCTGTACTGTAGAATGAGCAGTTTAGTTCATAGCAACGAGCAACGCTGAAATGAACAGCGATATTTGAGTCTTTGTTTTATTTCATATTCGCAAAGGTTAGCGGACGAAAACATTTTACAAGTCAACATTTGACGAGTTTATTCCTCGCGATTGTTACTTTTCTTCAATCTGTACTGTAGAATGAGCAGTTTTGTTCATAGCAACGATTAACGCTGAAATGAACAGCGATATTTGAGTCTGTTTAATTTCATATCTGCATAGGTTAGCGGACGAGTCAACATTTTACGAGTTTATTCCTTACGATTGTTACTTCTTTTCAAGATTAGACACTAGATAAAATTTCGGGCGAAATGTCTTAGGATTTCGAGCGACATGACTTAGGATTTCGGGCGACATGACTGCGAACTTCGGGCAACATGACTCTGGTTCCGGGCGACATGACTTCGGGCGAGATGACTTTCGGGCAACTTGACCGGCTGTTACCGCTGCGCCCGATGATGTGGAACTCGCTGTTATTACTGCTTGGAACTTGTAGCAGATTCGCCGTAAATTAATTATAATAATTACAATTATAACAATAATAATAATGATATTAATAATAATAATGGTAATAATAACAATAATAATGGTAATAATAACAATAACAATGATAACAATAATAACCAAAATAATAATAATAATAATAATAATAAAAATAAATAAGGAGAAAACAACTCAAAGCATTTCTTTACTATTAATATAGATGTATAAATTCGTGATTTTTTATCATCTAGTATGTTTTGAAAATGAACTTTTGAAAGCGTAATAAAACGTTACATACCAGTGAGGTTCCACCATACAGTAGGTGTTTAACCCGAAGGCAAAAAAATAAAAAACGTCAGATCATTCGTAATAAAGTAATCACTGATAGAGAAAAAAAAAAACAAATAGAACGAGGCGAGGAAAATGTATCTGCACACGCGCATATGTTTGAGAGCAGAGATTGCGTGATTGATAAAGGAGCTCGCCTCCTTGTGCAAGACTCATAGGGTCGACCTGTCCAAATTTTCTCTGACTACAAGGTTTTTTCTCAGGATTTTTTAAAGAAGGCTTTAAGATGATTGTTCCAGACCTCGTCAATCCCCCCCCCCCCCCAATTTTTTTTTGGGGGGGGGCTACTTCATAGACCGATGCATTCAAGAGATGGGAGTGATATTGCGCGCAGCGAAATTGAACTGAAAAAGACAATATTTATGAATGATTTAGAAAAATCAGCTCTCCTTTTTATATTTGTAGATGGTTCGCTCTTGTTAAAATGGAAATTTTATGAGGTGCTAAGTAACAGACCTGACTGAAGCGTTTTGTTTTCGATATGGTAAGTCTTCCCGGAGCCATTTTCATGAACCACACGCTTCAGTTTGAAACAAAAAAAAAACAAAACAAAAAACAAAATTAACGGCAACACAAAACAAACGAAACACCGGCTTCATCCCGCTGATTCTGTTGTTATAGCCAGCTACATTATCATTGCCGTCACTCAATAGAATTTTTTCTATGCAAATTTGTCAGTAATCACAACTTTAACGCACGTAGCCACAAATTGACAGAATGTTTCCCCTGCGGAAAACCTTCTTAATTCGGGAAAGGCATTCAAGGTCAATGAACAAATTAAAGGCTGTTAACCGCGCTTTTAAGAACAGGAAACAATCGTTTTACGGGTGTTAACTGTGAAGGAAAACCGCCGGATATTGGAATCAATACTTATTGATCGACTGGAAAGCAAAATGTTAGAAAGAGTTCACATAATCTCATTTTCCTATCAAGTGAACATCATTTTTTTTTCTGTTTTCACATGAATAAATAGTTTTCTCAATATTAATCAATAATATTAATCATAGCGAATTCATTAAATGGCTGAGGAAACCAATAAACGGATGTGAACTGCCTGTGCTCTTTCATTTACACTTCATAAAGTTTCATTCTTCGTTATTTCAGCCTTAACGTATTCAGGCGATCACGCTGGTTCCAACGGGTTTTAACCTCACTGAACACTTCGACCGTATCTGCGCTAAATTAGAATCTGCGGGATATTATGACGACCGCCGCTTGCACTTTTTTGCTGATAGCATTTGGTGTTGCCATTGCCTCTGAAGACCAACTCACCAATGGTAAGCACATTTATCCTAAATTATATTATTAAACTTTGAATTCATCTCGGTTAAATATAAACTGAAGGCAATCAAACGCGTACACTGTAAATGTATCTTTCTTGCGGGGATTCCGCTGCGATTGCCTCAATGCTTTCCTTTGGAAGAAGTTTGTATACATTTGGCAAGAAAAGCGAACAGGGTCGACGGATGATTGGCGAGAAATTTGAAAGGATGTGAGTCGATTATTATAACTTGATAGTCTGCAAATCAGCTTCCCTCAGCTTTCATCAGCTCTGTTTATTAAACACCTTACAAAATTTTGATTTCAACGTCACTGAACATTATCGATCATCTCTGCTGCGCTTAACTAGAATCTAGGGATTATTTTGAGGACCAGTATTTTTGCCATATTTCTGTTTGCTTTTGGTGTTACTAATACTACTAAAGACCATTTCACCAATGGTAAGCACATTTCTCCTTAGGTATTTAATCATACTTTGAATTAATCCCTGTGAAATATGAACTAAAGGCCCTAAAACGTGTACACTGTAAATGTATCTTTTCGTGTGGGGACTCCGCTCCAGCTGTTTTAATGCTATTCTTTGAAAGAACGTTAGGTCTGTATACATTTGGCAAGAAAAAGCGAACAGCGTCGACGGATGGGTTGGGGAAAACTTTGAAAAGGATATGAGTCGATTATCATAGCTTGATACTCTATAAATCAGCTACTTCTGTCAGCTCTGTTCCAAATTAAACACCTTAAAAATTTCGATTTCAACCTCACTGATCATTTTCTCTAAATTGGAATTTACGGGGTATTTTGAGGACCACTCTTTGCACCATATTTCTGTTTGCATTTGGTGTTTCTATTCAATTAAGGTCGCGTTTTTGCGCGAGGTTGTGTTAGAAAAATGTAATGCCGGTAGCGTTTAATTTCTCGTTCCTAAATGTTGCATTCGTCATATGATTTTTAGTTGATTGCTAGCAGATTTAAACTAAGTCAGTCGTTTTGTTAGTTTTTGTTAGCGCCGCGTTACTTTTGTTTAAAGTGTCACTACCTGATCTGGTTACGTTACAAGTTGTGAGTTCGTTTCTATGTCATATAGCTCTGCCGTTATTCGTTTTGTTGTTCTTTTTGTACTTAGATATTTATTTTAGTTATTTACTTTCAGTCGAATCACACTAATACATCTACACACCTTTACATTTAGATATTTGTCTCTCTGGGAGTTAGATTAAACACATGCATTCTATTGTGGCGTAAAACATGTACTATTTAGCCACATACACGATTCTATAGATAATCCCCTACGTATTTGTATTCATTGTTATTTTGCCGAGACAGAATTCAAGTTCATCTTTATCTCATTAAATATGGGATTGAAGGGGATGGAAAAGTAGAAGCCACCCTTCTAATTTTGGAAATTCACAGTTTCGTTCACCCAGTCCCTACTGCGCCATTGCAAATGTAAAAACTTTCGTGTGTGTCCGAGGGTTTTATTCAGTTCTCCTTCTTTGTAGCTTCTCCTAATTCTTGAATGATACGTGATACATGATTAAAAGATATTAAGTAAATAGATAATTTTTCCTTGTTTTTCTTTTTTCTCTTTTATCGGTCGGCTTCCCATAAACATTAGTTACGGTCTGCTCCGAGTATTATTTCCACGAGGAAACAGGTAACTGGGAAGGAGCCAGGAAAAAATGTAGCGATCAAGAGAATAGTTCACTGGTCTCTATGGAAACCGAAAGAGAATGGCACTTTGTCAAAAACTTAACCAAAAAGCAAACAAAGACACGCCAAGGGAAGTATTGGTTCATTGGCTTGAAAAGATTTGATGGATCCCGTGCGTGGAGCTGGTTGAATAAAACCATAGCCTGGGTCAATGGGACGTCAGCTGGAACATGGCGTTGGAATAAAGGAGAACCAAACAATTTAGAAAAAGAAAAATGCGGAGAGATGTGGTCAAACGGAAAGTATAACAACATTCCGTGCGAAGCGGCAAGTTATTATAAAAATCCAGGATATATATGTGAAAAGCAGTTCTGTAAGTTCATGATCATACCGAAGCTATATTAACCCAATTAAAAATCACAGTCAGAAAAAAGAAGTTGTAAGCGAACTTTGATTTTGAAGCGGGTAACTCACATTCATATTTTCTTCCTAGATTGTTCAACGATATCTAACAATTCAGAAAATGATGATATTTTCATTGAGAGCACAACAAGACCTTTATCAACCCCCCAACCGTTGGCGACAAAGACAACATCCAATTCACTCAGAACTCAATTGTCGAAGACTCAGAATAAGCTGCTTACAGAAGGTAAGACTGACGTCGACGGAAATTTGACATCTAATATGACCCTAGTCTATTGCGCAGTTATCGTCGGAAATCGCACCTCTAAATTCCCCTCCCTTACCTGCCGACGTTAAGAAAGAGGAAAAACTAAATATATATCACATATCATAAGAGGGGGGATGAGAGAGGGGAAAATCCTATGAGCTTTATGGCAAATACTCTAGCCCTTCCTCTTTATGTTTGGCAATAGCTCTATACGATATATCATTATCATGATATATCGTATAAAGATCCCATAGCCCTTTAGAAAATCTAAATCAACAGTTAGTTAAAAGCAACGTTGATGGAGACATTAAAACGAAATCTGTCGATTTTTTTTACCTTGGGCGTATCGGCAGCATGTACATGTTGAATCGTGTCTGAGTTTTCTGTTGGCGATTCCTTCAGCATTTACCGTTAAAGTGGAGACTTTTGAGGTGAATGAAGTAAAAGATTCTCTAAAAGAAAAACAGGCAATATTATTTTTGAAAGGTTGATACCTTCAAATGAGGGTATCAGTTCTATCAAAATGGATCAAAATCCGCTTTGCACACTTTGTGGAAGTATTTGTATAATAAAAATTTAATCACAGATTTCTCCTACGATAAGCAAACTGTGTCCTGGCAGGGTCGCCATCTGTGTCAAAAACTTGAAAAAGCTGTACCACGCTTCTTATAAATTCACGATTTATTCGCTTGATTCAACAATTTTGCTATTACGCTTCGGTTGACTCCCATTCACAACTCTCGGCTTATTAGAAGGCTGCCTGATTAGAAGGAAACACACTCAACGTCCTGTCGTAAGCACGTGGAACAGTGCCATATATGGGACGATAAAACACGTGCTGCATACAGGTTTGCTTAGTTATGCATAAAAAACGAATTCCTTATAAATGTCAATCAAATTGAGAACAATCAACGTATCGAACAGTTTCCAACAATAAGAAAAATGAATGCGTAAAGGGGAAATTCCCTTTAAAGGTTTTCGAAGCAAGAAGAAATGTAGGTGGTTTCCTTTTGCTTAGCACTTTGTTTAGAAAAAGCTAAAAAAAAGGTAAGGCATTTTTAATTTTTTTTTAAAGACAACAGTAATTGCATACACGTGTACAAGGGTTCAGTTATATATTGAACCGGTACAAATTATTAACATTAGGAACAGAAAAATGAAAGCCTCAAATGCACAATTTCACGTTTTGAATTTGATGGTCACAAATTTATTAACACATTTGCCGAATTCGTTTGCTCTGCCAAGAGCCTTATTTGGACCTCACTATACTGTTTCATTAGGCCCATGCTGGAAACGCTCAGGTGACTGTAACTTAGTACAAGTACAAGTCACTCGATGACGTCATTAGAACATTGTGAGCTTATACGTAAAATAAATTGAGGTATGTATTAGGTTCGTGGGTAGTACTGGAAGTAATGATTTCTGCAATCAATTATTTTCTCGATTGCTTTAGGGTCGTCTCAAACACCTGAAAGTACTCGTTTTAAATAATCAACAACAAAGGTGGCAAAACCCTACACCCAACCAGCAAATGAAACATTTTCTACATCGCAAAACTGAAATTCATTTGAATTCCCAACACATGGTACAATGTAATTATATTGTCGTCGTCTATGTCAATATTATAGAAGTCTATATGCTTCTAGCTGTTTTTATGTTTATCTTCATTAATTTTTTGTTTGATTGCCGTAGAGTTTCATTTCCCCACTTCGAATTAACTACAAAATGCGCTTCTGGGGAATAAAATCTAACATTGCTCTCTTTATATAACACAAAAGTAATATTATCATGAATGACATCTCCTTATTCCCCAAAACCTTTGTTGTAAATCAACCATAAATTTTATTATGACATTATGAGGTGTACCGCTTATGCTCAGTATAAGAACTTCTTCCACGAGTTGACCTGGAAAACAGAGGATATCGATTTTAGAAAAAGACGAGATTTCGAAGCCGAAGATCTTAATAAAAATGTTTCGGGCTGGGAGGAGAAGAAACGTAACTCGTGAGTTTACAGAAAATCTGACCTTTAATATTCCTTGATCGATCACAGTTCGTTAAAAGCAACATTTTGGTTATTACTATTGGTTATTACTTAGTTATTAACGTATTTTTCGGAACCTTGTTTTTTCGTTAGTATCCATTGGAACCTCTTTCGGTTCAATCAGCCTCTTAGAAAACAATTAGATGAATATTTTTCTTTTTTTTTTTTTCGCGTTCAGGGACTACGTTTGAGAATACCGTTAGAGAATCTTCTCCGCAAAATGGTTCAACGCGCGGGCCAAACCTGATGTTGATCGTCATAGTGCTTCTGGCCATTTTTATCCTGGCAATTGCAGTCGTATTCGGAATATCATTTTTTCGGCGACACCAAGGTCATAAGAACCAAGGCAAGTTTCTTGTATCATTTGCCTATTTGCTTATCTTTTAATTTATTTATTTATTTTTTGAAATATGATGAGCCGATGAAATATCGAAGCACGAAGCAGAAGTCATTCCTTTGTTTAATATAGTACACTTACTTGATGTAAAGCCTTTAGCTTCTTCACAAGACTAGTTCTACCATTGAATGGAAGAACTAGTCTTGTGAACGAGTGTAATGAGGATGCATCAATGCATACTCATTACACTCCTTACCCCCCCTCCCCGAAACAAGATTTCAGTTTTCAAAAATGGCATAATAGAATGTGCCACTGTCTCGCATTTCGCAGGTCTGTTCGGTTTTCTTCAAATGTTATTTTGACTGTACCTCGATCCTTTGTGTTTAAGGTGAATTCTTCGACAAGCATTTTATGGTGCTTTTGGTTTTTTCAAAGACCGAAAATGTGGAGGAGTTCCCAAAGTTTTTAACTTCAAGTTTCTGATTCCTTGTGTACATGCGTCATAGATAACTAAACGAACTTTTTTAATATCTCCAGTTTTCTACTCAATCTCAGTGAATATGGTAAAAATTTGAATAAACATATATCATTAACATATTTTGCAAAATCTTCCCGAGAAAGTGGTAAAAATATCTAAGGGGAACAAACACCTTACTCCCAATTGAAAAATAGGATCCTGTCCCCTCCCTGTTATACTTTGGGAGGGTAGGGTGCCTAGATTGTATATCGGAGGGTTGTTTATATGTTACCTTCGCTTGTTATTTACATTTACATTCTTCCTTTTTTTTTTTTTTTTTTTTTTTTTTTTTTTTTCCAACGGCAACGACGATATTGATGTGTTTTGACATGAAAACAACATTACGGCAAGTAGTATACATTGGTGTACGTTAATCTTTAGTACTCCGCCACCTGGTTTTTTTTTGTTTTTGTCTTTTTTGTTTTTTTGCTTTGTTTTGTTTTGTTTTGTTTTTTAATTAAGTCATCAAATCTTATTTCTCCAGATTTTAAACGTGGAAAGCCATAGGGTTTGTAAATAAATCATCTGGAAAATTAAGTGTCCATGAGAAACTTTTGAGTAATGGCAGAACATTTCTGATTTGGCTTTCAACTAAAGCTGCTCTGGATTTTAAGATTATCCTTTTTAATAATATACATGAAAAATTTACTCAGTTCTGATTGGTTGAGATAAATGCAGTTTTCAGGTAATTCAGTGCAAAAGAGAGTTAATTCATTGCAGAAGAGGGTTAATTCAGTGCAGAAGAGGGTTAATTCAGTGCAAAGAAAGAAACAAATCAGACATTCTGATTGGTCAATAATCAAAGAAACTCACAAACAGCCAATCAAATATGAGCCTTGGATGTTGCAACAAAATTTGAAAAATTTGGAAATTTTGCGAGCGAAACAGTGGCCGGCTTTTTAGGTAGGTTTTCTTTCACCACCGCGGCTGGAAAACAGCTCAAACAACGAAAACACTGTAAGAAGCACTACTTTTTGGTTGTCGGTTTGGAAAAAGTGGTGTTTAGTGAAGGGAATTGCCAAGGAAATCGAAAATTACGAACCGACCCAGCTTAACACCGTGCTCAAGCGATCCAACGCCGAAATTAAAAACAAGCATGGTTAAACCTCGGAAACGACGATTCGAACACAGACTGAACAATTCCTTGAACTGTTTCGCCGGACTTTTAACTGTTTTGCGCCTTAAAGACGTGAAGATATCATTGCATATTATCGTTTTGATCGTACGCGGTTGTTTTGACCGAACGCACGGTTTGAATAAATCATTTTTGCACTTGATCCGCGCGCTTTGCTTATGCTTAATTATGATAAGCTATCTCGTATTTTTTCATGTTTATTATTAACACGTAATCACATGATTTTTCTCGTGCAATTTGGAATAAACAAGCACTTGTTAATTTTTTCAAAGACCACAAATTGCACTCGCCCTACGGGGTCGTACAATTTTGTTAGTCTTTAAAAAAATTTACTCGTGCTTATTTATTCCAAATTGGACTCGAAATCGTGGGATTACCTCTACAAATGACACAGACAAAAACTATGCAAATGTATCCACGAGGCTCCCTTTTCAGTGGTAGTTGTCAAGTGATTATAAGATCACTTTTATCGTCGAGACAATAGATTTTTTTTCCTTCTAAACTAATTACTGCCGATACATTGTAACCTTTCCTCTACGGGAAATTTGAGTGTAATTTCCATTTTATGCATCATATTTACTTGATGTTTCTTACACCCTAAACAGTACGTCACTTCTTTCCTGAAATTTACGTTCGAGGGCAGAATACGAAGCTACTCTCAAACAGAAGTGCAAAATTTTGAGCTTTATGAATATACCCTAATATATCTTAATCCCGCTAAGTGAGAGAGAATATCATTTTGCCCTACAGATCACCTTCAGATCAGCTTCACGATCGGTTCAATTGCACTTACGAGGTGCCCCAGAGTTCCGAACTGCAATCGATCGATCCTGTGCTTGGCCAACAAACACAGAGATCCGCTGAGGTTACTGTTCACCTAACCCTTTCACAAACGGAATCTGGGCCGGCCACCTATGAGGCAGCGAGCGATTGCAAAAGAGAGTGCGAGCACGATCATATAGATGAGACTAATCGAAAGTCAAGGTCACTGACCGAGGGATATTCAGATTTTCAGGAGAAAAAGGTGGGCAATGAGAAAGGAATTCAGCAGCCACCTTCTTTGTGCGATATAAAAGAAGAAGAAAAGGATTATGTATACGCTGTTGTTCATAAAGAAAGAAAACGCGGAGCTAGTTCTGGAGCAAGCACTCTCAAAAAATCATCGGACCGCCCTCAGGAAGGAACAAGTGGGTTACCTGTGAACCGGGGGTCCTGTGTCGACTGTATTGGTCGTTCGTTGCATCCGACTAATTCAGGGCTCGACAACAACACAGAGGCTGCAGAGAGCGAGACACCTCAGGCTGGCGGGAACAGTGAATATTTGTACGCAGCTGTTGACAAGACAAAAAAGGAGAAACCGCCACAGGTAATACATTTCACAAATCCTGACAGCATTCTTCTTTTTCATTTTTTACTTTTTTATTTTTCACGAAGACCTGTATTGCCTTCAATGCTTTTCAATCTAAGGAAAAAAATCTTGATACATTGAACTTTTCGATTCAAAATATAAACCGATGACAATCAAGCGTGCTGCTGAAATGCGGCAGCTGGACTTGCTTTTAAGTATCTAAGGGTTCCTCTAAAAACTACATGGATATATCAAAACTAACAGACAAACGAACAAAAATAAGACCAAAAGGGCAAGACTGATCCTGTCAGCTTATCATATTTGTTTCTTTTTTTTCCTCATTAGCTACTATGTTGCTAATGTTATTCGGTGTCACTAGTTTCACGAATTGCCTATAAGATATCATTACTTTTTATGATCTAGAAGCCCCCTCCATACCGTGGTCATGTGTACGCTGATCTGGTCCATTCCCGAGAAATTAGCGCAATGTTTGTCAAAGAACATTCCCAAACAGTGTACGTGCAATTCGACCATGCCTAGACAGCAAGCGTGATGATATCGCAGCACAATCTGGAGGAAACAAAACAAAGGCGGACATCAGTGAACTCTGTTCGTTTCCAATCCTAAAAATAATTTTATGAAAAACATAAAAATTAACTCAAACCTTAAAATGAAATGATAAAATTGTCGTGGAAACAATTATCAATAATCATTAGTCTTGTCATTACAAATAACAGACTAGTTTAATAGAAAAAAAAGAAAAATACAATGTTACTTACAAGGGATAAGTTTGTTTAGCGATTAGTTGGAAATCAGCATACTGCGATCGGGCGCACTAAAGGAAAACCTGAACTTGGTGTTTAGTTCCATGTAACAGGGAAGCTTTATCTTTGTATAGTCAAACTATTGATTGAACTCAAGAAATTATAATAGCTTGATAAAATATAAAACTTTGAAAATATCCTTAATTTATTTTCCCTTTTATAATTAAGTTAAATATTCGCAAGGTCTGATGACGTTTAATTAAACTTCAGCGTCAGCGTAGCACTCGTTTAAACGTTTGTGTTTTTAAATATCACGGTATGGTGTATCGTAAAAACAAAACACAATAAATAAATAAACAATTTGATTTAATCGATGAGAAATATTTGACAACGTGATTAGAGTATTTGCGATATATATTATTCTCACTAACGAAAATGACACAACTATCTGCCAGTAAATTCTGGACGGAAGGCTACTCCGACAATTTTTTTATTTTGTTTGTATTGTATGAATTACATTATGTTTCAATCGCTAAGCTTTGGAATTCAAGCGATCACTTATCTTCCTAACTGACTATTCGTGTAAAGAACATCAGCAACACCGACCTAACTACCACAACAGTCAAACGTCGGGCATGCGTAAGGGATCGATTTTCGCCGGCCGTGTGCCAATTTCCCCCTCAAAATTTCAAAAGAAAACTTAAAAGAGACAACTGTCTATTTCAGTTCTGGAGAAAGCACTCTCAAAAAATCAACGGACCGCCCTCAGAAAGGAGCAAGTGGGTTACACTAATTTGACAACCTGAGAGCACGCCTTTTAGTCACAACATGTGTATCACATGCACAAACACGACGTTTTGACTAAATTTCGGTCATTTTCGAGTGAATGGCATGCAGAATGACACGATAAATATATATATGCGTGTGTAATACGTTCTTACTATTTACTTGAAAACGACCGAAGTTTGGTCGAAAAGTCGTGTTTTATCGTTAATTTTTATTGTCAATACTTCATAGAACAATGCGTTTAAGTGATGGGAGCAATATTGTGCGCAATGAAATTAAACCGAAATAGACAATATTTATTAATGATTAAGAGAAATCAGCTCTTCTTCCTATAATTTTATATAGTTTGCTGCTGGTGAAATCGAAATTATAGAAGGTGTTCTAAGGAACGGAGCTGATGGAAGCTTTTTGTTTTTGATATGGCGAGACTTCCTAGAGCCATATTTATGAACCACGCGCTCCAGTTTGTAAGACAAAAACAGCAACTCAAAACATACGAAACACTGGCTTCATCCCGCTTGTTCTGTTGCTATAGCCAGCTACAATGTCATTGCCAATAGAAAGTTTTCTCTGAACAGTAGTCAGTAACAACAACTGTAACGTACGTAGCCGCCATTTGATGAAATAGGGACCTTAAGATCCGAGGACGGCGGAAGTCTGCGACGGCTGTCATGATCGAGGGGGCCTGGGAAGAGGTTGCCGTCGCAAGGCGCGAAAAATCCTTAAGAGACCAAGTCGAAGGCGCGGGCGGCATTGTTCACATATTTTCGATTTTTATCATAAATTCCTTCATTCATGGCTTCCTTTAGACTTATTCGTAGTATTCTTCAGCAAAATTTTGATGATGGCGATGTATCAGAGGACGAGTTCCTTCTTCTTTATGACGTTAACACATCCAAAAACCCAGATTTTCCTAATGAAAGTTATGGGAAATTTGACCTTAATGATGTGGAAGACAGTGAGTGTTTATCCGAGTTTCATTTTCGTAAATGTGACCTTCCCGTCCTTTCTAAGGCCCCACATCTTCCTAAATACTTTACATGGCAACAAGGAATAATATGCGGTGGAATTGAAGGGTTGTGTATCGCATTCGAAGGTTTGCGTACCCATGTAGACTCAGTGATTTAATTCCACAATTTGGCCGCCCAGTTCCATAGCTAAGTATAATTTCCAACCTTGTGGTGGATACAATTTATCAGGAATATAATCACAGAATAACTCAGTGGAATGCTACACTCCTGAACCCAGCACTTCTAGTAACGTACGCTCGTGCAAGTCAATGAGAAATTACGAAGAGAGGTGGAAGGTGAGAAAATCCCACCTTTTTGAAGGTAGTTTTAAGCAACTGAATGGGTTTAAGTGTTATTGATCCTTTTACATGTTTTATTCTATTCGAACGGATCGAAAATTGAATAATTACATTCAACAAATAAGAGATGTTCCCACTGGGACACTGAGAAATCACAGACAAAAAACGCAATTTTTTTTTTTTTTACGGCAAGTAGAACCCTTTTTTGTTCAGCAAATATGGAAGACACTTTCACAAACATAAATAATCGAGAGACTATCATTTACTTAGCGTAATTCATATTGAGTTTCACCACATTCATTGTTGAAAACGTGAAGAAAAGAGAATAGGAGAACTTACTAAGCAATCTTCTTCGCACTCGTGTCGACTCCAGCCATGACCTGTTTAGTGGAGAAAAAAAAAAATGTTTTGAGGTCGCAGACAACACAGCTACGGCGATAATTTTTGGGGAATGGCTACCGGAAGTAGGTAAACACGCATTCAAACTTCCGCCCGCCGTCGTAGACATCCGCCGTCCTCGGATCTTAAGGTCCCTAATGTATCCCCCGCGGAAAATCTTCTTAATTCGAGAAGAGAATTCAAGTTGATTAAACAAATTTGTTTGTCGGCTGTTAAGCGCGCTGTAATCAACAGGAAAGAATCGTTTCACGGGTGTTAACTATAAAGGAAAACCGCCGAATAAATAGGCAATTTTAATTTTAAAGGAGTTATTTTAAGAGCGAGCGTGAGGCATTATCTATCATGGTAAATCATATGATTGAACACCTCTAAAATGGTAGTTTGCAGATCATGATATGTAAACGCCCCGTAACGGAGGCATCCAGGTTTCCTTATAAATGAACGTCGTTGTGGATTTCTTTTAATTGAAATTTGTAGTCAGTTCTCTCGACGAATATAACCGCACTTACACACGCGTGATTAGAAGAGGCTCTTTATACGTACAGTAATATTAATCATAGCGAATTAAATGAATGGCATAGGAAACCAATAAACGGACGAGTGTTGCCTGTGCTGTTTCATTTATATTTTCTAAAGTTCCATTCTTCGTTATTTCAGCCTTCACATTTTCAGGCGGATCACTTTAGTTTTAACGGAAAAACTAAAAAAAAAAAGAAGAAAAGAAGCTACTTACGGGGAATTGTTTGAGTAGCACAACCTATCCATTGTTATAGTGGAAAGTAAGAAATGACTGACATGTTTATGCCTGGATGTAATGTTTTGGTGGAGCTCAAATTTTTTAAATGTTCGGGCGTAGCATTTTTCACAAGCTCTTATCCGCAAACCCATCTAGAGGAATTGGTTATCCTTAAATAAAATAGATAGATAAATAAAAAAAATAAAAGATAGCCGGTTCTTCTAGATGGGTTTGCGGATTAGAGCTTGTGCAAAATGCTACGTCCGAACAACTCAAAAATTTCAGCCCCACCAAAACATTACATTAAGGTATAAAACATGTAAATCATTTCTTCATTTCTACTGTCTCTTCCCTCTCTAGCGGAGCTGTTTTAAGTGTAATATTAAAAGCGCAAAATGCTGGACGCTATGGAGGCCAAATGTCAGTTTTTGTCAGGTCAATTATGTACTCCTACTATTGGGACTTTGACGAAAAACTCTCCCCAGGGAATAAGTTTGATTACCATAACGTATACTTGCTTTATTACTTCGCACCATGCCGGAATTTTCTTATGAAAAGAAAAAAAAACAACAACAACAACAATAACAAAAACATTCTAGGCTCCATAAAATTGGAACAACTTAGTTTTACCTGGTAATAACAGAAACAGTGGATTAACCCTTTAAGTCACACTAGTGATCTAGACAGAATTTCTCCCTACACTATCAGCAAAATATCAATGTCAGAATAAAGGAAAATATCAATTAAGGGGATTAATAGTTGATCCAATTGGCAGACAGTATGGAGAATTATTAATGAGATCTTGAGAATTAAAGGGTTAAAGCCGGCTTTTCGTTTGTTTTCTGTTGTTTGTGTCGTTGTATTTACTTTGACAAAATGAAGCGCATAGTACTTAAAAATAAATTTAGGAAGTATTTTTAAATTGAAAAAACAACAAACAACTAAACAGAAAACTTCCGTCAGCTTTGTCCCTTAAAACCAAATAAAATTCTGATTTCAACCTCACTGAACATTTCGACCGTATCTGCGCTAAATTGGAGTCTAAGGGATATCATGAGGACTGCTGATTGCATTTTCTTACTGTTTGCATATGGTGTTGCTAATGTTACTGAAGAGCAAGTCACCGATGGTAAGCACATTCATTCTTCAGTATTTAATCATACTTTGAATTCATCATGGTAAAATATGAACTGAAGGCAATTAAACGTGTACACTTGTAAATGTATCTTTCTTGCGGGGATTCCGCTGCGACTGACTCAATGCTTTACTTTCAAAGAAGGTCAGGCTTGTATTCACTTAGAAAGAAAAACGAACAGGGTAGACGAATGGTTGAGGAAAAATTTGAAAAGGATATGAGTCGATTATCATAACTTGATACTCTGCTTCCGTAAGTTCTGTTCCTTAAACACCTCACAAAATTTTGATTTCAACCTCACTGAACATTTTCGACAGTTTCTGCGCTAAATTGGAATTTACGAGATATTTTGAAGACCGCTATTTGCACCATATTTCTGTCTGCATTCGGTTTTTCTATTCAATTATGTTC